AGTCGCATTATCAGCGATGAAGCAACTCTCGTGTATTTGAGGTTTCTCATTCAGATATACGCAGACCTAAACAATAGATACGGATGAGAGAGGTTTAAATATGGAGACAGGAAACATCTTAAGCGTCTGGGAATTAACTCAGTTGGTAGAGTGCGTGCTTAGCATGCACGAAGTCGGGAGTTCAATTCTCTCATTCTCCAGAATAATCTTTTTTTTGTGTGTGAATGTATGTATGTATATCTGTTGTATGTGTATGTGCACATGAACAAAAGGTTTACTATATGCGCCCCCACTCAATTGTGATTTGAGATATGACAACGAGGGGCTCAAGCTTACGGAGATAACCCAGACAAACTAGTAAGTAGCAATATAGTAACAGTCGTGAGTCTGCGAACATACATTCAGATGTGCGCACAAGTGGATGGCTGGGAATGAGAAGAGTCTAGCTATACACACATGCGGAGAGTGAGAACATTCTTATAGAGATACACATGACTGAACGATAGACGAGAGTGGGAAGAGCGGAACAAGAACCAGAAAAAAGGGTTTAATGTACACACATCTGCAACATAACGGAAACAGGAAACAGTTTAAGTTTAGGTCTACAGTTATCTGAACGATGGAGGTACACGGGAGAGATGGTTAGGGATGAGAAGAGAAGAGAAGGATCAGGCGAACAAGACCGGCACAAATACATTCGCAGCGATTGAATAACTGTCGTGGGTTTGAGGTTTCTCAGTAAAATAGATATCGGAGAGATACAGGGGTATGGTGAAAGGGTAAGACGCGCACACACCTGGGAAGTAGAGAGAAGCAAGAGATGTTTAGATAGACACGTAACACATAACGTATTTGAAATTGAACGAGAGATGAAGAGAGTGGTTGGAGATCTAAACAAGGAAAGAGCCAAGCCTATGTGAAGCCAGTATGGTGAAACACTGATTGCCATGTAGTGCTGTAGTTCAAAGGAGTGGGTGTGAGCTTTGTTTTTGGTTCTGGTGGGTTCGGTTACCAATACCAATACTAGTAGGGTAACACACCCGAACGCACTACTAAATGTGGGGATGTGCATGTATACACGACTTCATGAAACTGTTTGTATGTATTACACATACATTAATATATATATATATATACATATGCGGAAGGTCCTTGCGTAGGTACATGTACGCGACCAAGTCATGTGTATATACCGAGTCACATTGGTATACGCAGAAACGCCATTTGAAAAGAATCAATCATAAGCCAAGGTAGAGATACAATCATAGAACTTGAAGTAAGTACAGCTGCTGCTACGACACATGAATAAAACGAGACCCCTAAACCCACCCACACACTACATGCGCTAGTGCTGAGCTGCTTCATCCCCAAAGCAAGCATAGTTGACATCACTATTGGTGTGTGTTAATGTTAGGATAATGAATGTTGTTGGGATTGCTGCCGCACGCTGAGGGCGTTGCTAATGTTAATTGGTATTGTATTGAAGCTGATGTACGTTGATATAGTTACCGTTCTTCTACATATATCTCTATCTCTCCCCTACCTTGTCAGATTTGGTTGCTCGTGTGGGTGTTGCTTCTGATGGCTCACACGCCTTTCATTTCAATCCGTTAAATGCCCATACACACCACATACACAGCAGTACTGAAGTCGTTTGTGCTAGTAATCCTGACCATACGTTACTATTATTGCTATTATAAGTTGATTAAATAGCTAATCATAGACATCCATCTTCCCCCTTACCTTGTCTGAGCTGGCTGTTGGTGCGGGGGTTGCCTCGGACGGCTCGCTTGTTGTATAAGTTCGCATACACATGCCTCTGACCACACTTGGTCGCATTAGAACACCCATTGCCGGGCGTGTGCGTAGATAACCGAACAGCGACATAGTGTCAGATAGGGATGTTATAACAAGAACACAGGAGAGATGACAGTAGTATCTGTGTGTCAATATATGATTGATCTAAGTCCGGCACAAGAGTATGTATGTATATTCCAGCTGTTTCCTATACACATATATACTCAAGTATGCTTCCTCGTATGTGTGGTGGTATGGTTTAGTAGGGTTTAATGATACACACAGACACAGGTACGCATAGTCGTATGCATAGCTATACAAAACGTCATATTTACATAAGTGAGAAGAGTGCGCATTATTTCTTACAATAAAAAACAAAAAAGTATATGCTGAACGTAAACACACATATTCCAACCACTATGCAGACATCACCGACATGAACTTTTAACGCAAACGTATACTAGTTTGCCGTTTATACGTGTATGCAATACATAACAATATTTACATATCGAAGGAATTTGGAATTCTGAGGTGTCATCACTATTTTGGGCGCGCGATTGACAGGACAAATTATTCTAATGACTGCAATTTCACATGACTTATGTGTAATCCGAAATAGATGTGTATTTATATATTTAAAGATTTTATATAGAAGTTCAATTTTAGTTACATACACAAGGCTATTATATATACATATTTATAC